AAGCAGGGAGTCTGCTCCTCTCTTCACTTAAGCACCATTTGGACCCTTGTCAGGGCCAGGCCCACTGAGGGCTCCAGGGACCCAACTCCATTCCTGTCCCTGAAGGTCTCGCCTCTAAGGACTTGTGCTGGGCCCTGGAGGCTGAGCAGACTTCAGCTGGGAGAAGGGATTGTGGGCAGAACAGCTAGGGTAGAGGTCTGCAGCCAGATGATTGATCCTCATCCTGTCCATCTGAGTGACTAGCTGGGCCAGGCCAGCTGAGGACTTGTAATTGGGGACTCTTGCTTGGAACTGGGGGTCCTTGGCATAGGCTCCTGCTTCCTGGCTCTCAGACCTGGATTTCCTGAGACCCCTCTGTCTGAAAGCCAGGTGCTGCCCTTCCCAGTCCAGCCTCTGGGCTCCTCTCATCCAAGAGAAAATCCAAGCTTCATCGCCTGCATCCAGGGCCCTGTCTGACCAGTCCTCTGCTAACCTCATGTCATTGCAGCCACCAACCCCCAACTGGCACAACCTTGTTTGCCCACACTCTTTCCCAAGCATGGCACATACTTCTCTACCCATAGGCCTTTGCCTGCACTGTTCTCTGCCTGGAATGTTCTCTGGATGCTGGTGTCAGGCTCAGTTGACCAGGAGTTGGGAGAGTTCAGTTCCAATCCTGGCTCCAGTTGTCTCCTGGGGCATTCTCCTGTTCATCCTTCATGTTCTAGCACCTGACCACTCTGGTCTGGGCTCTTAGCACGCGGAGACACTTTCCTTGGGGGATATCATCCCCATAGGGCCCCTCTCCCAAGAGTGGTTCTTGGTGTAACCTTGGCTTTTCCCCCCTCCTCTGTTCCCCCTTTGATGTTGCTTTGACACTTCTCAATTGCACCTCAACTAACCCACCCCACCCCCTGCAGCAGCTTCCCCTGAAGCCTGCCCTGAGCCCCACAGTTATTGAGATTCAGAGCTCTCTCTGAATGTTCTTGAGATTCAGAGCTCCAGGAGCCCTGCTCCAACCTGGCATACTCCCAACTGTCTTCCAAACTCAGTTCAGTGACAGTCCCTCACCTCTAAGGACAGTCCCTCCTGAAGCCTTTCTAGACCCCCAGCATGGGGGGAGGTTCCCCTCCCTGTGCCCTCAGCACCCCATGTTTACACTTAACCAGAGCAGGTCAGTGTTCTGGCTCTGGGGGCAAAGTCTGTTTCTTATTCGTCTATGTCCTTGGAGCATCTTACAGTGTTGGCTGTATTTGATGGATAGATTGGTAAGATCCAGTGGAGTGATGAATGGGGTAGAAGGGCTGGTGGATGAATGGGGGAAGGGGTGGGTGTTTAGGTGGATGGCTTCCCGCACAGTATGGTCACGGTGTAGGTGGATGGGTGATCTAGGGAGGACCAAGTGAGGGAAGGGTGGGGTAGATGAATGTGGGTGGGTGGTTAAGTGGGTCTATGGAGAGGCTTGGGTTAGATGAGGGAGCATCAGATGGGTAGGTGAGCAATTTAATTCTGGAATTCTCCATGGTGCAGGCAGACATAGGGGCTTTTCTAGGTACTGAAAAAGAAACAAAATAGAAAGGAGGTCTTGGGTGATGTAAGTTTTGGGGGAAACTGGCAAGAGGAGCCATGTGGGAGCTCTGGGGGCCCAGAAAGAATAGAGGCAGGCCAGTGGAGCCCAGCCCCCCACACCTTGTCCCTTCAGGCAGCGGGAGCTCCAGTTCCAATTCCTGCAGCTGGTGGCTGGGGTGGAATATCAGCAGCAGAAGTTCCGTTCCCAGGCATCTGTCATTGATGAGATTGTTGACACAGCATTTGAGGTGAGCCAAACAGGACAGGAAATGGGGGACCTAGGGATCTTGCCAGAAGTGGCCCCAGAGTAGTTAGTAGTCACACAAGGTACGGGCTCCTTCATGCTCCCATCCCACAGGCTGGAGAGGAGGACTTCAAGAAGTGACCCTGGAGAGTGCCACCAGATACAGACCTAAGCCTCTGGCAAGCTGCCCACCTGGAGCTGGGTGTTGGGACAAGTCCCCAACTTTGCTACCGTGGTTGTCTGGGCCCTGCAGGAATTGGGCCCCAACAGAATTTTTAAACCCCAGATGATTTTGTGTCTTCTATGGCTGTGCAAAACACAGGGCAAGGGAACTTGTGAGGTGCCCCTGGGGGTGGGATGAAGGGTGTTTTGGGCTATCCTCTCAGCAGCGCATTGGCAACAGCCAGAAGAGTGACGCAGAAAGTGGTTTAGGCCCAGGGACTGGTGGTGCTGGTAAGGGACAGAGGGAGCAGTAGCCCACTTAGGGGAGGAAGGCCAATCTGGCCCATAGGCCCGGGGGGACCAGTGGGCTCCAGGAATGGGGCTAAGACCCCAGAAATTCAGGCCTAGCAGCACCATGAGCATCCAGTATAAGGACATCAACCTTGGGGATATCGGGTCTGAGGTCATTGTCATCCACCTTGCCCCCTGCCTGGGTTTAGACTACAGAGCCTCAGTAAGGAGGGTGGAGGAGGCTGCTCAAGTCCTTCTGGCCTCAGGGGAGGTACAGGCAGTAGGTAAGTGGGATGGTCCAGCTGCATTGGGAGATTCCCCTATTTATAGCCTGAGTCTGGACAGGGGCTGTGGCCATGGCTAGGCTAGCCTGTGCTAGATACTGAAGACCTAGCACTAAATCAAGTTCAAGCCAAGTCTGAACCTTGGGGGTCCCCACCCAGTATTGGGGTCTTCCACTATCTACAACCATCTCACCCTTAGTGGAGGCCAGTCCAGGGTGCAGCAGTTTTGATAACCACCTCTGCCTCCGGGCTGGACCAGACAGTGGTGGAGCCCCTGTGCCTTAGGACAGAAGCAGCTTCCCCTTCCTAGCCTAGCTGAGGACACAGGCTGGCCCAAGGTCTAGGAATGGACTGTGCAGAGGAAATGCCATCTAGGTTTGGGCACAAATTCCAGGGATGGAGAAGCCACTAGGCAGTCATCCTTGGGATTTGCCTCACCCCAAGGTCTCACGCATTCATTCATCAAGCATTTTCTGCCACCTACCCTGCATTAGTCCTGTGTTGGAGCCTCCTGCTTGGTGTCACATGGAGCACTTCCAAGCCAGCCACACACACACTAGCTGTCTGGGCTGTCATAGCCAGCAGGGTCCAGCAGGAGCAGGGCTGGAAATTATTCCCCATGTCCCTGTCAAACCCTCAGCTACTCATGTCAGGTGGAACTCAGCATCTGTTTTGTAACTCTCCATCTTCATCCTTGTGTAGTCCGCTGTGACTGAGCAGCAGGCAAGGAGCTGGCACTGAAGCTCATAACATCCCACCACTAGGTGGGGCCCAGGCAGGAACAGGTGGGGTATAGGGACTTATTTGGAAAGAAGGGCGTGTGGGCAGCAGAGAAGGAATGCCAGAGTATTCTCCATGCCATCTCTGGGCTTGAACACTGCTGACAACCAGAACCCCCAAGGCACCAGCTTACTGCCCCTTGTCCTGGGTGTGGGTGCAAATTGGTACATCAAAGAGAGACTCCCAGGTGGGAATGCAGGGCTCTGGCTAGTGTCTGGGGTCTGCGTGCCCATCTCTAGGCTATCTTGGGGTGCTGCTTCTGTGTTTGCTTTGCTTCTGGGTTGCTAGGTTGTGTTGCTGGATAGTTGGTTGCTAGGTGGGCGCTGGTGTTTTTTTCAGACATCATGTATATGGTGTATGGGAACATCTGAGTGTGTCCTGTGGGTTTATGGGTGTGAATATCTGTAGAGTTGAGGGTTGTAGGTGTGAGTGTGTGTGTCTGAATATGCACTTCAGCCACAAATTCAACTATGCAAGAAATGTTGCAACCCTATTTTCTTTAAGTGACATTCAGTCATAACTATTCCTCATGTGGGCAGCAGGTTTGCACTTGCTCCCTCTGGGGCTCCATGTCCAGTGCCTTGTCGTGTTCCTGGCGACAAAAACACTCAGGATCACTCCAGGGGAATTGGGCTGCAAGAAATAACCACACAAGAGCAGAGATACCTTTTTCTTTGGGAGTCCTGTGACGGCTTCTCTGACCTTAAGGGTCCACAGAAAGAGAGCCAGCATGTTCTGACCCCTTTTATTGAGGAGAAGCCATTCAAATGAGGCAAGGGGTCAGGTTTCAAGGGGCTGAGTCTAACTTCATGATGTCTGCTGTCAGCAGGTTGACTGACATCTAGGAAGGCCACACCTAAAGGCAGAGCAAGAGAAGGGGACACACAAAGGGCATTTCCATGGAACATTCTATTCCAAACAGGGCAAGAGAGTAATATCACAAAGGAACAGGTGAGCGTAGCTCAACCCCTGGGGCTGCAGGAAGGCACGCCTATGCATGAAGACCCATTCTGCTACTTCAAGGATCAGGGCAGCTGTCTAGGGCCATTGTGAATGTGGCCAGATCACTACGAAAGTGACCAACAGAGACTCTACCGATCTCAGGAAGGAAAATGCTGGTCACTCAGCACGATGCCCCAAGTGCCTTCCAGGGGTCTTGCCAAGGGAACCTGGGGGGTCCTGCTAGTGAGAATGTAAGAGGCAATGTTCTAGCCTCATGGCTCTTGGCCAGCAGTGGCTGTGTAAGACAACTTTGGGCCAACACACATGAACATTAGTGGGCCGGAAGCTCAGTGTCCAGGACCCAATGGGCTGGGCACCCCACATGCATACCTGAGCTTCTCCCAAGTGCTGAGAGGAGCAGGGCATGGGCTCCCCTTCTAAATGCTCACAGACACTGTCCCTGGCTAGTCTTGGGATACAATCCCTCTTCTGTGACTTTGTCTCCTGTCTGTTACCTGAGGCTACTGGGAGTCTGTAATTGGGGTCCTCAGAATTTGTTTCCTCATGTCTGTGATGCTGGAACGTTGGAGATCCCCAGATTCAAGGGCTGAGCCCTGAACTGTCAGTGCTGTCTGGGCTGGGATAGCACCCCCTGGAATACCATGGGTGGCCCGTCAGCTGGGGAATGGTTGGAGACATCAGTAGCTGGGTGGGAAGTGGGGAGTGGGGCACACAGAAGAAACCAATGCAAGAAGCAGTGCCAGTGATTTATTGCAGAAATGTGGCGATGGCTCTGAGGTGCCCTCCACCATGTGTCCCTTCATCCGCTCCCGCCTGGGGGCCGATTACACTTGCACACAGTTGTGTTTGAGAAGCTGAGAAGAGTTCTTCCAAGGGACTTGGAGGATCTCAAAGTCACAGCGCAGCTTCTGTCGAGAGCCAAGGTACAGGGAGGGGTGAGCCCAGCCCAGGGGTCAGCCTCCTCCCAGGAGCCAGCTCTCTGCCTGCCTTATCACTCTGGGGCCACAGAGGGGCAATCACTGGTCCCAGTGACCCACAGTCTGATGATGGGACTAGATCCCAGGTCTTTCCAGCAAATCCCCCACACCCAGGAAAGCTTCAGCCTCTCCTCTTGCACCTCACACTGGCCTGAAGCTGAGTCACCTAAAAGCAGGGCAGGTTCAGCTAGGTCTCTGCCCAGCAAGCCAGACCAGCTCAGGTAGGACAAGCCCAGGGCCTCAGGTTCTGTGCAGGGTGCGGGCTTGGGGCAGTGCTGTTACCTCCTGCTGCACCCCTGTGGCCAGGGGGCAGGTGGTGAGGTCCACATGGTCTCCAGAGACCCTGGTCTTCCGGCACGCTGTGCTCTCCATCTCCACTGTCAGGTAGTACTTGATGCCAGCCACCAGCTGGGGAAGAGCCAGGTAGGTGAAGGGTGCCAGGAAAACAGGCCTGGATATACCCCTCCCTCCCTCCATTGTGCCCCACTGTCCCAAGCACATGCAGGGCTCTGAGCTGGGGACCCAGACCTGGAGTGGGTAAGGGGCTCTGGTGGGTCCTGGGGCAAGGGGAAGGGGGAAGAGGCCGGGTCCCTTCAGGAGGCTGAGACCCACCTGGGCACACCTTCCCAAAGCTGGGGCTGTCACCAGGGAGAGGCTATTGTCCTGTCCCCTCTGCCTCCCCTTTGCCCCCATTTAGGAGGGACCAGGGGGATTCTAGTGAAGGGAACTCTGCATTTACAGGATTGGATCCTGAAACTTGGTTCATGGTGGACTTTTCATTTTGAGAAGCCAGGTTTGGTGGCGCACGCCTATAATCCTAGTGGCTTGGGAGGCTGAGGCAGGAGAACCATGGGTTCAAAATCAGCCTCAGCAAAAGCAAAGCACTAAGCAATTCAGTGAGACCCTGTCTCTAAATAAAATCCAAAACAGGGCTGGGGATGTGGCTCAGTGGTTGAGTGTCCCTGAGTTCAACCCCCATTACCAAAAGAAAAGAAAAGAAAGCACTGTATAGTGGGCAGGGGTGCAGCTCGGTGCTTGAGCACTTAACATGCCCAAAGCCCTGGGTTAGATCCCCAGTGTCACAAAAAATAAATGAACATTTAAGAAAGTATTGTGGGCTGGGGCTGTAGCTCAATGATAGAGTACTTGCCTTGCATGTACTATGTGGGTTTGATCCTCAGCACCACATAAAAATAAAGATATTGCACAAACTACAACTAATTTTTTTTTTAAGTATTGTATGCAATATTGCTTTCTGCCTTGGCATCCCCTTCACTGGGCACCTAGGCAGTGACTAGCCCTGGCGGGGTTCACTTGCCCAGCTCACCTGGCTCTGCGCCTTGATGACGTTCGTGTCGCGGAAGTAGTAGAGGCTATTGCTGCCCATGTTGTAGCTGGCCACAGCTGCCTGCGCCGCCCTCTGCACCTGCGGGTCGTTGGGAGCCAGGTCCTGGCGTTCTCCAGTCCTGCGGCCCCGCAGATCAGCGCGGGCGTCAGGGGACAGCGCCAGGAGGCAGAACGCGATCAGAGCCAGGCCCATCGCCAGCGGGAGGTGAGAACGTGCCATGGCTGCAGTGTCAGTGCCGAGCTGAGGCCTGTGCTGCTTTTACGGGCTCCCTGGCCCCGCCCGGCCCCGCCTGCCGCCAGTCGCCCCCGGATCCTGGATCCTGGCATGGTGCCTTCCCCACCCCCAGGTCCTGCAGGCTGGGGCCGAGGGGTCAGAGAACCCCTGTGTGCCACGATGCTGCTGCGATGCCCAGCCCTCCAGCAAGGGAGAGCACAGCCACAAACCCCAGCACTAAGTGCCACTGTAGGAAGAGTTCACAGAAAGTCTGTCCAGTCTGATCTACCAACAGCTATGTTTGAGCTCTTACTGTCCCACCATTTCGGGGCTGTGTGACCTTGGAGAGGTTACTTAACCTCTCACTGTTTCTGTTTCCTCTTCTGGAAAGTGAGTATTGTGAGGATTCAATGAACTGATACAAGTAAATTGGAAGAGGCCAGATGTTCTACAAACAGCAGGTAAGTAGGTGACATTACTGCCCTGAGCCAGTGTCATTTAACTCACAATCAGCACCAAGAGGGAATTATAGTGTTTCCACTTTGCAGAGGAGGAAATAACATGGAAGGGAGAACTGATTTGACTATAGACAGCAGTTGAACACCAGTAAATGGAGATGCTGGCTTTTGAGCCCCGGGAGCTCTAAGAACTTAGCAGTCCTAAACCAGACTGAGTCCCGAGGGTGAGAACTGTCAGAAAAAGGGGCTGTCAACCCTGTTGCTGTTTAACTGACTGGGTGACTCTGGACAAATCACTCAACTTCCCAGAGCCTCAGCTGAAAAAAAGGGTAACGATATTTTTCTCCTGGGCTGGGGATGTGGCTCAAGCGGTAGCACACTCGCCTGGCATGCGTGCGGCCCGGGTTCGATCTTCAGCACCACATACCAACAAAGATGTTGTGTCCGCCGAGAACTAGAAAATAAATATTAAAAAAATTCTAAGGAAAAAAAATATTTTTCTCCTAAGTTTGTTCTAACGCCAATGCCTCCAGACCGAGTCACCCCTAGGCACACTGGACAAGTAAGTGCTAGAAGTACCAGCAACATAGGGACCCCACAACTTTTTGAAAGACTCCAATAATAAATATATAAAAAATAGCATTGAAGTAATCAACACAGGAAAAGCCTGGACTTTGTTAGAATTCTTTGTGCTTTAGAGTTTGCATAATTTGGGCTTTAATATTTGTCCTTGGGACATTGAAATCTTTTTGGAGTCTTACATGGGGCTCAGAGGAGGTGGCCACTTACAGGACCTGGCAAAAAAATTGGTGCTTTGTTAGTGATAGCTATTATTGGTTTGGTTTGTGGTGCTGGGGATGGAACCCAGGGTTACTCTACCATTGATCTACATCCCAAGCCTTTTTTACTTTTTGAGACCACATTTTGCTAAATTGCGGAAGCTGGCTTTGAACTAAGATCACCCTGCCTTGGCCTCCTCCTGAATTGCTGGGATTACAGGTGTGTGCCATCACCCTGGCACTATTATTGTGGTGAGTATCATAAGCAGACATCCAGCATTCCCCCTTCCCCAATTCTAGAATCCCAGGGCCATGAGGAAGTGATTTCTCAGACCAGAGCATGGTCACTGCCAGTCCAGCTGCCAGTCTGCTTCCCCACCCAGTCAGTCCAGCTATGAAAAACAAACTGCTACCTCCCGGGGATTCCAAGGAAAAGGTCACAAGTTTGTCACAGGCTCAGGTGTCTGTCTTAAAGAGACAGACTTCTGTTTGTTGGAGAGCTGGCCTAAGCTTGGCTTGATGAGGAGGCTTGGCCAGGTAGGGACCATGAGTCGAGAGGCATAGGACAGCTCACAGGAAAAGGTGGGAGGCTGCCCAAAGGGACAAGGCAACCTCCCTGGGCGCCCCCAGCTCTGCTCTTCCACCGTGAAGCTCAGTCATAGCCACACTTACTTCTCATAGCTCCCTTGAAAAGTAAAGCACCATCTCTGATTCACCAAGAACCAGCGAGTCACCAGTCACTGTCACCTACCTTGTCCATCACTGCTTTGTGCTAATGTCAATGAGTCTTTGGTGCTACAATCTAGCAATTTCCAAGGACTTCTCATCCACTGATTACTCCTCTCAAACCTTGAGGTAGTAGTATCCTCATCTGCAGAAGAGTTAATCAGAGCTAATCTGAAGTCACTTGGCTAGAAGTACTATCTGGAGAGAAAAAGAGGGAGAGGAGAGGGAAACTAACCATCACTGGACTCTTGCCACATGCTATGCCTTGAATCACATTTTCTTGTTCTCATAGTGGCTCTGCAGAGTAGTGATTATTACCTCTTTCCACACAGAGGAAATGAGGGGTCAAAGAAGAAATGGTAGGACCTGGAGTAGCACCCACATGCCCGCAATGTCCTGTGCTGACCAGGCTGTTATGCAGCGGGGTGCTTCCTGAAGGTGGTCTGTCTCATCCAGAAAGGAGCCTGTAGTCTGGGCTCCATCCTGTCTGGATCACTCTGGCTTCCAGAAAACGCCCTGGGCCAAGCATGAACTTGAGATTGGCCATCCCACTGGCCATGGGGCACAGGCTCCAGATTTGCTGTGGCCCAGGCCTTCCAACCCAGGTTGCCCACAGCACCCTTCTCTTTCTCATGGCCTGATGGGTCTTGATGACCAGGGAGGCCTCTCACAACCTCCTCACCTTGGGCCCACCCTGGCAGGCTCCTTGCTGTAGCCCACCCCATCCCTCTTCCTTGAGACTTCAGCTGGGTGAAGGACATTCTCTCCCTAGGACTCTGCTCCCCTTGTCATGTCACACATATCCTGGAAAGAAAACTTCCTGGCAAGGATACATGTGACTCCATGGAGGAGTTCCCCTCAGTGCCGGGGTGTCCTGGTCATCAGCTGATTGAATCTTCAGAGCCGGGGCTGGAGATATGGCTCAAGTGGTAGCGTGCTTGCCTGGCATGCGTGTGGCCTGGGTTCGATCCTCAGCACCACATACAAAGATGTTGTGTCTGCCGAAAACTAAAAAATAAATATTAAAAAAAAATTCTCTCTGTGTCTCTCTCTCTTAAAAAAAAAAAAAAAAGATGGACACAATATCTTTAAAAAAAAAAAAAAAAAGAATCTTCAGAGCCCTGCACTGGGTGGAACAACTGGCTCCAGATCATCAGGTGACCGAGGGAAGAACTTGTGCCTCTGGCTGGTTCTTCAAGGTTTTCATTAGTTGAAGCCAGAATGATGGCTGCAGAGAGAGTCCTGGTGCCTGCAGGGAGGGGACACCCTGAAAGGGAGGCCACAGCCATGAGCACCAACTGGGCGTCTTCTATTCCATCTGGGTTGCCACTGGGCTAGGTAGGGAAGGTGTCTTGGGCTGTTTGTCCCTTCCTTTCTAGGGACAGCAGGAAGAAGCCCTTAGGACACCAGGGTTCACCCTAAGCTGCAGGCCAGATCTGAGTACTAGGGACTAGAGCAACTGAGGGGTCAAGCTCTGGCTGCATACAGGAGTCAGGGTGGCAAGGGGTATAATGTGTGAATATTTGCTGACTTCTGGGCCCACCAACAACCCCAGGCCAGTAGGTGCTCAGCTCAACCTGCTGAGCCCTGAGCCCCAGCTGAGAAGCTCTGCCTCCTCCGTCAGGCCTGCCCTCTCTCCAGCACGCCAGGCCTTGCTCCCTTTGACCTACAAGCTGAGTCAGGGCTGGACCTCTGAGAGGCCACTCTGTCACAGGTACATTCTAGGTGCCCTTTGTCCCCTGCTTCCCCAGGACTGATCCAGGGATTTGTGTGAGATATAACATAAAGAGCCCAGAAGAAGGGCTCCTGCCCTATCAATCTGTCCTGGGCTCCAGTTGAGCCCCAGGGAGAGGTGACAAAACCCATGGGTGAGGCAGGGAAAGGCGAACATTGAAGAAACAAGGAAGACAGTATATCACGCAGGGTCCCCCCAGGGTCCCAGTGCCAGAGCCAGGGAGGCAAAGCCAGGCAACCAATATGGGCTGGAGCCACAGGAAGGGCTTCATAGAGCGGGAGAGCATCTCCATCACCTTGTCATTCAACAGCAACAATGTGATTGTGTCAGGGCTGAGTGTGGAGAAGCTGTAGCCCTACTGAGCCCCTACCTAAGCACACCAGGCAAATGACAGTGTCACAAGCACAAGGGTTGAGGCTGAGTGTGTCTGGACCCATCAGGGAAACATTAGGCACATAGTATGTCTCAGACTCCAGAAAAGGCCACTCCAGTACCTCAATGGGCTCCTCCCAGGAAGCAGCTGAACCACAGTGGCCCCTGCTCTGGCGGAACCTGCCAGCTGAGCCACACGCTGCCCAGACCCAGCTTGAGAGTGACAATTCTGTCACTTTGTCCCATACTCAATCACCAGTTTTTTATTTTTTGTTTCCTTCTTATTCTTCTATTATTCTGAAATGTAGCTAATACACAGAAAACAAGCCAGAAGATGCATGTTCCTTTTAACAAATAATTGCAGGGTCAGTGCATGTATTTCCACCATCCAGGTCAAAAATGAAATGCCACTCCCACCTCTACACCCTTCCATAATCACACAAAGATAATCACTATTGATATTTTCTTTCTTTACTTTTTGCCATACTAGGTATTGAATCCAGGGCCCTGCACTCGAAGCAAGCACTGTACCACTGATCTACACCCCCAATCCTTTTATTCTGAAACAGGGCCTCACTAAGTTTCTGAGGCTGGCCTTGAACTTGTGATTCTCCAGCCTCAGCTTCCCAAGTAGTTGGTATTACAAGTGGACACCACCATGCCAGGCTTACTATTGACTTGCAATAAACATTTCCTTGCTTTTCTTTCTAGTTTTATTATCTATGTAGAGGTCACTAAGCAAGAATTTACTTCCTAACTTTACATGAACAGAATCACACCATTGTATATTTTGCTTTATTTGTTCAATACTGTTTGAGGGTCACCCATCATCTGGGCTGCTCCCCACTCCCCCGCAGTGCTGCCAATCTGGGCCTCACACTGCAAACACCCAGTGCCTCAAGGTACCAGGTTACTTCCTCCTGTCCTGGGTGTGGGTACAAGTTGGTGCATCCAAGGAACACCCCCAGGTGGAGATGTGGGACTCTGGCTAGTGTTGGGAGTCTGCAGGCCCATCTCTAGGCTATCTTGGGATGCTGCTTCTGTGTTTGCTTTGCTTCTGAGTTGCTAGGTTGTGTTGCTGGATAGTTGGTTGCTAGGTGGGCGCTAGTGTTTTTTCAGGGCATGTCTATGGTGTCTGGGAACATCTGAGTGTGTCCTGTGGGTTTATGGGTGTGAATATCTGTAGAGTTGAGGGTTGTAGGTGTGAGTGTATGTGTCTGCGTATGTACTACAGCCACAAATTCAATTGTACTAGAAATGTTGTAGACCAAGAGGCCATGGGACCAGGACATCGCCTGCACAGCAGTGGCTGTGCAGGACAGGCAACCCACTTTGGACCACACACAGGCACAGGAACGTTAGTGGACAGAAAACTCAGTGTCCAAGACCCAGTGGGCTGAACCTCCCACATGCATGCCTGAACTTCTCCCAGGTGCTGAGAGGAGCAGGGCATGCACTCCCCTTCTGAGTAGACACTGTTCTTGGGGCTAGTCTTGGGACGTTATCTCTCTTCTCTTTGTCCCCACCCCTTTTCTAAGACTATTGGGAGTTTCTGGCAATGTTTGGGGGCCCACCACTCCCACCTGCAAACCTACTACAGCTGCACACAGTCTTGTTTGAAAAGCTGAGTTCTTCCAAGGGACTTCGAGGATCTCAAAGTCACAGTGCAGCTTCTGTCGAGAGCCAAGGTACAGGGAGGGGTGAGCCCAGCCCAGGGGTCAGCCTCCTCCCAGGAGCCAGCTCTCTGCCTGCCTTGTCACTCTGGGGCCACAGAGGGGCAATCACTGGCCCAGTGACACACAGTCTGATGATGGGACTAGATCCCAGGTCTTTCCAGCAAATCCCCCACACCCAGGAAAGCTTCAGCCTCTCCTCTTGCACCTCACACTGGCCTGAAGCTGAGTCACCTAAAAGCAGGGCAGGTTCAGCTAGGTCTCTGCCCAGCAAGCCAGACCAGCTCAGGTAGGACAAGCCCAGGGCCTCAGGTTCTGTGCAGGGTGCGGGCTTGGGGCAGTGCTGTTACCTCCTGCTGCACCCCTGTGGCCAGGGGGCAGGTGGTGAGGTCCACATGGTCTCCAGAGACCCTGGTCTTCCGGCATGCTGTGCTCTCCATCTCCACTGTCAGGTAGTACTTGATGCCAGCCACCAGCTGGGGAAGAGCCAGGTAGGTGAAGGGTGCCAGGAAAACAGGCCTGGATATACCCCTCCCTCCCTCCATTGTGCCCCACTGTCCCAAGCACATAAAGGGCTCTGAGCTGAGGACTCAGACCTGGAGTGGGTAAGGGGCTCTGGTAGGTCCTGGGACAGGAGGAAGAGACCTGGTCCCTGTAGAAGGCTGAGACCCACCTAGTCACAACTTCCTGAAGCTGGAACAGACATGAGGGAGAAGCTGCTATCCCCTCTGCCCCCATCTAGAAAGGACCAGGGAGAAGTGGCAGAAGCAAATTTGTATACAGGGTTGGATCCTCTCTTTGATATTTTGTTTTTTGTGGATTTTGGCCTTCATCTGAATTTTTAAAATATTGCATAACAATATTGGACAGGTGTGGTGGCACATGCCTGTAATCCCAGCTTCTTGGGAAGCTGAGGCTGAAGGGTCGGGAATTCAAAGCCTGCTTCAGCAACTTAGTGAAAACATAAACTACTGTGTCTCTAAATAAAATATAAAAATAGGATGGGAGGGCTGGGGTTGTGGCTCAGTGGTAGAGCACTCGCCCAGCACATGTGAGGTTCTGGGTTCGATCCTTAACACCATATAAAAATAAATAAAATAAAAGATATCGTGTCTAAAAAAATAAATATTTTTTTAAAAAAGATATGTATCCAACTATAAAAAATAAATATTAAAAAAAATGGGCTGGGGATGTGGCTCAGTTGTGAAGTGCCCCTGGGTTTACTCCCCAGTGCGCGCGCACGCACACACACACACACACACACACACACAAAACTCATTGTGTGCTTTTGCCACCTCTCTGGCCTGGCCTGCTGCACTTTACTCTGTGCCTTGAGGATGTGCTTTCTTTCTTTTTTTTTTTTTTTTGAAGAGAGAGAGAGAGAGAGAATTTTTAATATTTATTTTTTAATTTTCGGCGGACACAACATCCTTGTTTGTATGTGGTGCTGAGGGTCAACCCGGGCCACACACATGCCAGGCGAGCGCGCTACCGCTTGAGCCACATCCCCAGCCCCGAGGATGTGCTTTCTAAGCATTCAGTGATGCTTCTGCCTGTACGGTGGCTGACTGTAGCCAACTGGATTGGCCAACTGATGTCTCTATCACAGTGGGCCATTTATCCTACCCAGATAACAGCCTCAACTGGACCCTTGTCCTTACAGACCATAGACCATAGTGCCCAGCTTACCAGATCATTGTTCCATCCTCTGGTCTTTAGTTTTGTGTTTCTTTCTATTATTCTGAAATGTAGCTGATACATTTCAGAATGATCCACATTAAGGGCATCGAAGAACAGACGTGTTCAGGTGAATTAAAAAAAAACAACTTTTTTTTAATACTGGGATCAAGCCCAGGTCCCACTCATGCAAACACTATCACTGAGCTACACCCTGCCCTCTGACCAATTTAATAAGTAGCTAATGTCTACATTACCACCCCAAAGGTCAAAAAAATGGAAATGCCACTCCTACTGCCAAGCCCTTCCACTATCACACCCTCCACCACAGATTTTTTTCTTTGTATTGACTTTTTTCCCCCTGGTGCTAGGGATGGAACCCAGAATCTTGCCCATGCTCCGTAGGTGCTCCATCACTGACCTACACTATGGACCTACTACTAACTTTTGCAATAAGCATTCCCTTGTTTTTTTTTTTTTGCACAGCAATGGGCACTGAACCTAAGGTCTCCAGTGTTTTTGACAGGGCCTAAAAGTTGCCCAGGTTGGCACTGAACTTGCAATCCTCCTTAGCCTTCTTAGCTGAGACTCTAGGTGTGCAGCACTATGCCTAGCTTCTTGGTTTCCTTTCTAGACTTACCATCTATATAGGGATCCTTAAGCAAGAATTCACTTAACTTTACATGAGGAGATCCCATCTTTTTGTTGGTTTTTCACCACTGTGCAGCTTTATTTACTTATCTACCCTCATACTGAGAACCACCAGTTGTGCCCCATTGGGGGCTATTATAATCAACAGACTATGCACACTCACAAATGTCCTAGTGCAGGTGTTCAGGAGCTTCTTCAAGGCATAGTCCTGAGAGTGGAATTGCCAGCTCACAGGGTGTGTCAGCTTTGTAAAATAATGCCCAAGTGTTTTCCCAGAGTGCTCACAGTAACTCACACTCCCACCAACACAGGAGTTCCTGTTGCTCCATATGCTCAATGCTTGTTATTGTCCGACTTTTTAAGATTCTTGCCAATTGGGTAGGTGTTGATGGGATTTGCTTTTCTGATTACTAATGAAATCAAGCCTTTTCACATGCTGTTAGGGTATATTTTCTTGGGATTGCCTTTTATGTCTTTTGCCAGTTTTTCTATTCTTTCCAACTTTTTCTTGACCACTGTTCCACATGCTCTGGGTTAGATACTTTATATTTTTTTCAAATATCTTTTCCACTCCAGGTTTATCTCTTCACTCTATGATTTTATATAGAATTTCTAATATTAATGTAGTTTTGTCAACTTAATCTCTTAATTTTTCTCTATCTTGAGGTCCCTGAAAACTCATATTATCCATTTGTGTTTTAATACCCATCATTTGTGCCTCTTCAGCCAGTAGAGATTGTGTGAACAATTTGTTTATACAGCAAGTAAGTCACTGTTCAATGATGGTCTGTTGAAGGGATGAATGCCAAGCATGAATGGGTGGTATATAGCTAGCATTTCATTTGATCCCTAAAACAATCTCATTTCCTAAGTGGGAAAACTGAGACTCGAGAAGGACTAAGTGACATGACCAAGTTACAGTCTGAAATAGATGGCTATTTCTCAGCAACAATCTATGGGCAAATTAACTTCTCTGAGTCCCAAGTCTCTTCACTTCTAAAAAAGAAAACAATGGTTTATTATTATGAAAGGAAAAAAAATGTTTGCAAAAATTTCAGTTTCAGGAAGGTTCATAAATGTCCCAAGAAAAAACAGGATCAAGCTGGGCATGGCGTTGTCACACACAGCAACTCAAGAGGCTGAGGCAGGAGGACGGCAAGTTTGATGTCAGCCAGGACAACTTAGCGAGACCCTGTCTCAAAATAAAAAGGGCCAAGCATGGTGGTGCATGCCTGTAATCCCAGAAGCTCAGGAGACTCAAGCAAGAGTGTCACAAGTTCAAAGCCAGCCTCAGCAATTTGGCAAGATCCTGTCTCAAAAATTTAAAAAGGAATGGGGATGTGCCTCAGTAGTTAAGTGTCCCTGGATTCAACCCTGGTACCAGAAACTAAAATAAAATGGGTTGGGGACATAGCCTAGTGGTAGAATACTTGCCTAGCCTACAAAAAGCTCTACGTTAATCCCTAGTACAGAAAGAAAACAGCAAGAGAGAAAAGGACCTAAATATTCTGAATTCAAGTGTAATTCCCTTACTGCTTTCCCCCAAGACATCTGGGCAGATAGCAAGAGCCATGCCCACGCCTTTGAGGGCATGAGAGATGATGGCGTGATCAGTAGGTGAACTCTTACCTATATCCAGTCCACCCTCTTCCTGGTACCTGACTCCTACTGACTTTTCCACCAGGTGCTGCCTAGCTGTTGACTTGAGTGACATCTGGAACACCTACCTGGCTCCCAGGAAGTCAACCCACACTCTCTCCCACATCATCCTGGGATTGGGACACTCCAAGCCACCTGCCCAAGGCCCATGTGGCTAGGGTGGCTACCCTCTAGGAGTGGGAAGGAAAGGTGTCAGTTTCGGTCTGCACTGATAAGGAGTGCAGCAGACACCATCAGCTCTGGGGAAGAGGCAACTCTCAGCCCACTTACTTTTCAACACACAACACTCAGTCATGAAGGCCACTGTCTTTATTGATCTAAAAAACTTTACAAGGACAGTGACTGTTATGCCAAAAAAGGTGCCAAATGGCATCAAACAGACCAGAGGTGAAGGTGGGGGTGAGGGAAGGGGCCAGGAATCCAATCAGAAAAGCTGGTTAATGATTTCCATGGAACTGGCAGGGGAAAGAGAAAGGGAGTTGCATGCAAGAGCAAAAATTCCAAAAAAGATTGAAATGGTGAGGGGAGAGAACTCCCAAAGACCCTGGAGTACAACAACAGCAATCTTTTCCTTTGTAGAGGACAAGGAGCCCCCACTCAGCTGCAAACTCTGGAGACTTGATAATGGGGCTAGGGATTGAGGGCTCCCCAGAGAACATCACAAGAAGGCGTCACACCATTCTCGAAGACACCCAAAGCAGTCCCGGGACTGCTTGGCATTGGCACCACATGTGTCCTTCAGCCATTCTCGGAAGAGGTCTTCATCTTTCTTTAGCACCAGAAACTGACCGAGGACGACATATGCCTGCAAAACAGGCAAAATAAAAGGCATGCTGCTGAGTTCTGTGGGGAATAAAAGCAAGACAGCTGTCTACCACCTCACCACCCTGAATGTGCCAGATCCCCTCTGGCCTCTGAAGCTAAGCAGTCAATCTTGCTTGATATTTGAATAGGAGAACAATGCCACTTTTGTGACATTTAGAGCATACAAGCCCATGAAGTAGGGCAGGTTCTGCCCCTACTTCATCTCTCCCAGGTAGCCAGTCACTTCGGATTATCCACCACTGTCTACTCCTCCCCCCTAGCTTCTTCCCACTCCCAGTCTGCCCTAAGAAATTGCCATCTCTCCCCTCGGGTCTCCCCTGGTACACGTAGCCAACCCACACCTTGTCAAAGCCCCTTTCCTCAAGCTTCTTGCCCAGGACTTCACCAATCCCAGCCAGGCTCCCCACTGGCTTTTCCCCCATAGGCTCTGCCACGAAGTCTCGATGCTTTTGGGAGGTTGTCATCTTGATCGAGCTTAATCTAGGAATCCCAAGAAAAAGCAAGTTAGGGCTGAGGACCTGAGCTCCCAAAGGTTCAAGAGCAATCTCATATTAAAACGTAGGTAGGCCATTATGGTGAAATCCCTCATTTCACAGAGAAAACTGAGAACCAGGGACAATCTCCCTACTATTCAGAAAAGAAATGTCTTCCACTCCCTGGGGGAACCAGGTTTCCGTGCAGTCCCAATAGAAACAATCCAGCTCTAACAGGTGGCGCACGCAGGGCAATAGAAAGACGCCCAGAGTCGGCGGCCAGGACACGCCCTGGAGCTGACACTCTCGGTGACCTTGGCTGCGCGAAGATGACACTGACACTGCTCGAGCAGCCGAGCGGTGTGAAAAACCAAAACAGGGTCTCTGCCTCACCCGCCCTTCACACGGCATTCAGAGCGAAGGCGCAGGCCCGCGCGGCCCCGCAGGGTTCACACCGCCCCAGCCGGCCTCGCCCCGCCTCCAGCGCGCGCCGCCCCGCCCCCTCCACGCTCCGCCGCTCCCACGCGCCACGCGCCGCTCCTCCCTGCGGCCGAACCCTCTCCTAGGGTGCACTCCCTGGCTCGCCACAGCAATGAGGTCCCTTTCCTCCCCTCCTCCCCGTCCTTCCTCCAGCCTCCAGCTAGGGCCCCGCTGAGAGGCTCACGCTCACAGGCAGCTCCGGCTCCAGTAACGGTTGCTCTTGCTACTCGGCCGCTCCCGCCGATACCTCAAGCCACTAGAACTTTCTTCGACTTCCGCTTCCGGGTCGTCTCAAGACCCGCCTTGAAAAAGTAATTGGGCACTTCTAGCCGCTGAGGGGCCATAGAGTTGGATTGCCCTACATCTCAGTCATGTAGACACTAGCCGGTCTTTTTTGCCCCCTGGCGGAAAGCCAGGCTGTCCTCTGTGGTCTCGCTTCTGGGGCTGCTCCTCCAGTCTGAGAGAGAGAAGCTTCCGAACAGGATACTTCCTTTGTTCACTACCCGGTACTTAGAACCCAAGGACTTAGGTCTGACGGACCCCGCGGTAGGACAAGTTAGAGGAACGGACAAAGTAGGGGAAGTGCGGCCGGAAGGTTTCTGAGAGAGCGCCGGAAGTACTCGGCAGGGTCCGACTCAAACTGGTGTCCTCCTTGTAGTTGGACTAGCGGAAATTGGGAACGCCACGATCCGGAGTCCAGAACTGCTGTTCCGTGGTGATCACCGGCAAGTCCCATTTTTGTGCCTTCGTTGGCTCGGCTTTGAAATTTCGAGTCGTGAACTATCCGCACTCAGCGTCCAGCTGGAAAACAGGGTTGCTTGTGCAGCGCCTGTGGAACCCAAGGGCCAACGAGTAAGTGTGGGTCTTTCCTCCGGGTGAGGGGAGCAGAGGACTGGAGACGGCAATTAGATACACGTCGGAGTTTCCTTTGGAAACTATCAGTTTATCAGTGATACCAGCAGCTGCCGCAGACCAAGCTTGCTTCACCTCGACCCTTCACGCATTTCTGGCTTGGACAGTCGTGGTGGTCACTGAATTCGTCTCTGCCTGTAGTGTGTTAAGAGATTGAGCATTTGTGTTACGTGGCTGTGCTAGAGATGGGATGATATTCATGTCGAGAAAGGTACAATTTATCTCAAGTTCTCTGAAATATGTATAGTTCCTGACCACAACAGGACTTCTGATGACAGGAGTCATCTCGTGTGGTATGCATGCTGAGGGCATTTTCATTATCTTATTTTATAGCAGTGTTGAGTTAGCTATTGTTTTTTGGGGGGCATAGAAAAGTTGAGCAGTTTTGTCCTATTATTATTATTTTTAGACGTTGATCAAACCCAGTACCTCAGACACACTAGGCGAGCACTCTACCATTGAGCCACAAATTGAGTCATTTGTTTTTTAATGAGGAGTTGACACTCCTTGCTGCAACAAGCCTGTAATCCCAGCAACTCCAAAGCCTGAGA